TGTCATTTGAATGACATTTGCATGTTTACTTTGAATCCACTGTTTGCATGATTATGGCCACGCGAGTGGGCATGACCCATGGTTACATGGCTTCTCCTAAAAGCTTGGCCGACGTCCACCCGGAAATGGAGGTTTGGTCAAAGGTCTGGTAGGGGTTATGCCGCCCGTTTGTTGTCTGACATTTGCATGTCATTTGAATGTCATTTGCATGCTTTAGAGTTTTCTTTTTCATTCGTATCGGTTTTTGACTCAATGTGTTGAGATCAGGCTTTAGATTATAAATTTATATTATATTCCCCATTTCTAATTTAATCTACTCTTGTTTGCTTATATATATGCTTGTAGTTTTAAGGATGAGGGTCCTTATACGAAATCTAATTTCCATTCATTCATCAAATCAAATCTCCTTTCAAATCTTCACCGTGTGATATGTATCCCTTTGGTATGGGTCCTTAATTGGATCATTCTATCTTTCAAATCTTCAATCTATCCAACCTTCATCTTAAACTCTAATTACATTCGAATCAGTGCAATTATCAGCAGTCAGATTCTTTGCATAGACTCATAAGGATTTGTTTCTGATTGGAATCACATTTGAATTACAGAGAATATGTCTGGAAAACTAATTTTCAACTTCAACATCACCGCTGCCCAATCTACTGAGGGCCATGAGATCAAGTTCGGTTCTGGATATAACAATCTGCAAGTTACTTTTGGAGGAGCACCACACACTGAGATGGTGACTCCCGTAGTTGAGTCAATTCAATCGATTCATCCAAATCAATGTTGAGGGTAGATCTACAGCTGCTCCTACATCTACCAAACCCTCAGTTTTCACCCGCCTGACTTATCCTCAGCCAGCTGCCATGGCTAAAGAAAAGTCCCCTGTTGTGGTTGATTCCCCGACCTTTGGAAAATTTTAACTGTGATAATCATCTACCATTCCTTAGATAACTAAATCTCAGCGTCGTAATATGATTCGTCGTATGAGGTGAAGAATTAAAAGAGCTGAAGCGTCAAAGAATAATCCAGTTGTTGTTGACGCGATTGAGGCATCGAAGAATATACTCCTGAATTCACTGAGGTGTTTTTCAATTCTCCTCAGTTGGCTAGTAGTATGTTTCATCCTCTGTCTGCTGCTGCCAGAGAAGAGAGTGTAGTGCGCATAGCACATTCTCCGCCTACTCCATTATGGAATGATCCAATCGTTCCTTCTCTTTACGAGAAGAAAAGAAAATTCAAAACTTTGTTGAACGGGCTGATCCAGGACTGCACCATTGATTATGGCCAGTAAAAAATAGAATTCCTGAAAAGTGTAAAGTATGTTATCTATACTGAGGTACATCCTCAACCGAGGGGAGGGAGAGGAGAGTCTCCTCCCATAAAGAAAAGAGTGCGGTTTCAGGGAGCAAGTCCCAGCCGACCAGCAGCTGTACCAGACTATCGTAGAGAACTAAAGAGCTTCCCTTCTCAGGATCAATATCAAAACTCTAGCTATCAAGATAGCCAACAGACTCCCATTAAATCCTTAGGATATGGAGCATTAGCCCAACGAGGGTATAATCCCATATACCCTCCTTCTTCACATCAGTCTGGGAATTGTCCACTTAGGATTTATGATAATCCTTCTCCTTGGCATCTATTAAGGAATGACCGACATTATTCTAAGGGTAGCAAATCTTCTGTCGGTTTCGATAAGAGGAGATTAAAATTCCCAAATCAGTCATCCTCTTTACCTAACCGGGAGAGGGTTTGGCAGCCCAGAATAACTCCAATCTCAACTGCATCAGTAAGGTCAAAGAAAGATGCAGTATAAGAGAAATCGAGGAAAGGGAAGTCTGTTGCAGAACCATCCCCTGTTAGAGAATATATCCCAGCCAACCCACACGAGGTGGGGGATAAGTCAATTGAAGAAATGGTCAAATCATCTGAAAGAAAGCATTCAACAAATCAATGAAGAAGAAATGGGAGAAGATGAAAATATGAACCAGGGAATGTCTGGTAGTGTCAATATGGTGCACACTCGTTCTTCTTTATAGAAAGATAAGGAGAAGGGAAAAGGTGAAGTAGGAACAGATGAGGCCAAGGATGATGAAGATGATACTGCAGATTCTACTCATCATCTTTTGGAACAACTGAGTCAAAAGGACGAACAGATACAGAGAATGGAGAAGAAATTGGAGGAGATGATGTCTTTGATCTCTATGATGCAAGGTAACAATCCTCCTGTCCCCGAAACTCTAGTTAGATCTTCTCCAAATGAATCAGTAAAACTGAATCCAAAGAATAGATCAGTTAGAATAGAAGGATTTGATAAGCTGGTAGAATAACCAGTTAAAGCAGAACCACCGTTAGTGTAGTATATCGATATCAAGCAGATGGTTAAACAACAAGTCAAGGATGCTTTGGCTATGGCTCAAAGTACCTCGTCTATTCTAAAGGGTAGGCCATACCCGGAAGAATATGATTTGGTCCCTTATCCGAAAGGATTTGTATCTCCTTCCTTCAAAAACTTTGATGGTACGGGTAATCCTAATCAACATTTGGCTCACTTTAGAGCTAGTTATTGTAATGCTGGTGGTACTGATGCACTGTTATTCAAACAATTCATAAGTAGTTTATCGGGTATCACATTTGATTGGTATGCAGAACTACCTAATGGGTCAGTCCATTCTTTCAATGAATTGGAATAAATGTTCATTAAAAGATTCACGGGTGCCAAA